CATTCCTCCCCCACGGCCCGGGCGGACCCCTTTTTTTTTTTTTTTTTTTTTACTATAACAAGATAGGAAATACCCATTTTTTCTGCTTACATTGTTCGGAGAACTTTTAAACACCTATCCATGTACAAGGAATCTATGTAAAATGTACTTCCTACTGAGGGTCACTGTCAAAAATTTGAAAGTCACTACTTTGGTTGGAAAAAGGAGAGCCTCTGCTCCTCTCTCTCCTTTGCCTATCTCACCCTCTCCCTTCTCCTCTCTAGCTCCATGTAACAATGACTGACCCTCAAATCCAGCCACTTAATGCCACCTGGGAACCTAGGGGTCATTCTCTGTCTCGTTGGATGCTAGACTGAATTTTTCATGAAACTCATTATATCTCTTCTGCCACCACTCAATTTCAAATGACCATCATTTCCTGTGGTGATTATAGCCACAGCCTTTGAGCAGGATGCCCAACAACCCTTCTTGCTGCTGTTCAGTCCCTTATTCATCCTCTAACCACAGTGATCTTTTAAATCACCCATCAGATCTCATCACATCTTTCTTTCAAACCCTTCAACAGCTGCCCATTGTTCTTAAAATAAACACCAAAATCCAGAAGAGGGGGAAAGGCAGCTCTATGACCAGCTCAGTCTGCGCAGGCAGCTACCTGGAACCTTCTCCTTCCAAGTTCTCCCCACCTTACTCCAGTTTTCTATTCCAACTTTTCAGTTCTGGGAGTGTTCGTGATCCTTCCTAAGAGACTTTTTCCAGGTTCTTCCTGGAGTCTGGAACATCACTCAGATTTTGGCTCAATAATTATCGATTTATGAAGGCCATTTCATGATCCCCATGGCAGGCAGGCCTTACTATTCTCTGATAGTATCTCTTATTCTCCTTGACAACATTCAGAGTCATTTGTAAGTATACACTAGATAATAAACACCAAAAGGAAAAGGAAATGACAAAGGATCTCTCTTTTAACCATATTACTCTGAGCCCTCTGCTCAACTAGACCCGATACTGGTTTTCACTTTATCTTTGCAGAATCCAGGACAATAATCCTACTAAGTCACTTTAATGAAAATGCTCCCTACTTCGTATCTGACTATCCTGAATATCAAATCAAATTCCTCATGCCCCACACTAGATATCTGACCACTTTTGACCTGCCTTTAGCAAAAATACTATTGGGTCAGTCTGGCAAGAATCCTGCTTACTTCCGATGTTTCCTTTTAAGAAAAAAAATTTTTGAGAGATTTTTGCTATTGGATATGTGGGCTCACCAGAGAAAGACAGACAGACAGAAAGCAAGCAATCACCCCCCAGGGGGGGTATGGCCACACCACAATTCCTTCTTCTCCATTCTCCTCTCATGATTTGGGTATGTACACACATGTGCACAGTGCGAGTTTTAAGCTGCTGGGTCCAGGACTCAAACCACAGTCAACTACATAGGAGTCCAGCAATGTAACCATTAATGTAGCCACTACGCCATCTGCTGGTCCTCCTTTTAAGAATTTTTCATCTCTTAACCCCCACTCTACTCTGTGGCTATAAGTCATCACTTGTCCTTGTTGGAGTAGAAACAAACCCCATTTCTCTCTCCACTGCAAGATTCATTGTTAATACTGTTATACTATTCTATTGAATAGAGTCTCCCTTACTGTCTGTCTGTAACAAGCTTCATGAATAATTTTTTCTTTAGCAATATTTTGTCCATGATTTGGATAGGATCAGATTCATCATTGGATCCTGGGCCTGTCACCCAGAACCCCAAGTATATACCTTTGAAGTCTTTCTCTTCATTCATGACTGATTCATCGGGGATTCACTGGTAAGCCTGACTTCTGAGATAGTGCTCCAGACAGCAGCATGGTGAGGATAAATTTTAATTCTTATGATGCTGAGTATATGTTCTAAAATTGGGTTAGAGTCCTTAGACTTCTTTTGAAAGGTACAGGTTGGGCTGAAAGTCTTTCTTTCCAGGTCATTGTTTGGAGTAGGATCATATATTTTGGCTCCTATACCTAGTCTTGTGCTAGAAAAATCGTCCTGGCTCTCCCCCTGCACTGCCCCACTTCCCCACCCCACCCCCGCTAGAGATTACTCCCTTACTCCCTGGGCAGGAATATTTTCCTGGCTCTTTTTCTTCAAGTGAACATCCACTCTCCAATTTCTGAACTGGAATTCTTTTTTTCTTTTTTCTCTCCATTTGCTCCTACTTCTCCCATAGGAGCATCTTATTATCTAAAAAACAACTTCCAAAACCCCCGCCGATTATATGTTCTGTTAGCTCTATTTGTTTTCTTATTGGCATGATTTTGCTAAGGATAATTTGGAACTTCAGTGACCTCTTTGGAAAACTTGGGATCTTCCCAAATTTACTCCTCACAGGCCTCCACCTTTCCATTGTTTCCACGCCTTTCTCTTACCATCTTCAATCTTCCCTTCAGGTCCCTTAAATCCCTTGATACATAACCTCTCAAACTTCTTTGATATGAACCCCTCTGTCCACCCCTACCAGACCTTCCTCTTACCACTCCAGTTCCTCTACTCCCTCAGTCAGTTGATCTTTAGGACCCTTACCCCCATCAGGGACTCTCCAGGGACTCAGAGACCCCTGAAAGGAACTCTCTGGGGCTGAAAAAAAAATAGGAAAATTGGAAATAAGCTAGATATTTTATCTACTGAGGTGGGCTTTGGAGATACCAGACATCTGCTTGATATCCCCTCAGTCTCTCACCTAAAATTTAGACTACAGCCTCCATAAGATTGTATATCCTAGCAAAAGAAAGTCAGAGATCTAAACAAAAGCAAAAAGCTTTAACCCTTAGTAAGTGGATAACCTTAACTTGTTCTATTTTTGTCAGAAAAACCATCTGGATAATAATATAAAGTAGAGATAAACCAGTTAGTTTTATATTAATGTTTCCTGATTTGTGGTGAAAATTTTAGAATGAAAACTTTACGATTTCTGCTTGCATTTGTATGTGCATGCATGTAGGTATATCACATATACACTAATTCACCTTTAGATGTTATTAACAAATGATTTATAAAATTCTTAAAGGTGTTCTACTCAAATTTTTATAGAAATAAATGAGACCTATATAAATTAAATATTCTTAAACTCCCCCAAACACAGGAACTAACCCAAATGCTTTCAAATGTACATGATTTGGGTAAAACTTTGGTAAATAAAATTGATTTAATACTTTAATAAAAATGGATATGTCAGGCCAGGAGATGGTGTAGCAGTTACATTGCTGGACTCCCACATAGCCTACCACAGTTTGCATACTGGATCTGGTGTCTTGAAACTCATGCTGGGTGCGTGTGCTTACATGTCCAAGATCAGGGAGGAAAATGGAGGAGAAGGGATTGTGGCATGGCCATCCCCCCTGGGGAGTGATTTCTCACTTTCCCTTTCACTGTCTCTGTCTGTCTGTCTCTCAAGTGAGTGAACACTCCCTAAGGCAAAAATCTCTCTCTGAAAAACAGGATATATCTTTGGAGTTATCATCAATAAGTAAATATGAGCATACATTTTTACTCTACCTGTGCTTTCTACTATATTATCTCTACTAAATGTTTAAAATTATAAAATTTGTAAATTTGAATTAGAAACACGTGTTCAAATTAAAGTGCAGTATCCATTACTTCAAGCATAGCAGTTAGGCAAGAAACATATATTTAACATTTTTAGATTTCACCTTTGTCATGCTTGCTTACCATGTAGATGTTGTAAAAATAGTTAACTAGGAAATAACTTGAGATAATGGTTAGTTTTGTTTGATGTCATAATGTGGGTGCCTAAAAAACAGTTCCCCAAATCTTTGATAATATGAAAGCTTAGAGTTCTGCTAATAGATGTTCATTAAATATCTAGATCATTTCTAAATAAGACAAGCTACTAATACACTAATTACTGAACCTAAATTTAGGTTTATATACACTTGAATTCTTATTTTTATATGATATGGAGAAACTAAACTATATATTTGGGCCTGTTGATAAATAAGAAACATTGTAGTATGTTGAATCAGCAGATGCCTGTAAGAAATGTGAGATGGTATATTCACAAAATTTGCTGGTCTACTCATAGAACGCTAGTATGGGACAGACACCTCACAATTGCCTACTTCCTAATATTTTCTGTAAAAGAAAGATTACCAAGTGTTAAAAATGATAATGAATATATAATTAAAACTGTGAGAAATAATAAGGGTTAAGGGAAAAAACTTTGTATGCAAAATATGCAAGGAAGCTAAGATGCTGTTTTTGTTTTTGTTTTTGTTTTTATTTTTTTTTTCACTCACCAGAGGGCACATACACTCACCAGAGAGAAAGAGGGAAGGACACAGAAAGAGAGCAAGAAAAAGCAGCCCTCCACTCCCCATGGGGCATAGTCAGCAGCCCTCCACCCCCCATGGGGCATAGTCATGCTGCAATTGCTCCTCTTCCATTTCTCCATCCTGTCAGGGTTTGGGACAAACACGCACATGCACATGCACTCAGTTTTTCATGCTACCAGGGCTGTGATTCAAGCTGCAGTCAGTCATATGGGATCTGGCTTTCTTAACCACTAGGCTATGGGGCTGGCCCAAAATGTGTTTTTAATAAGGGAAGGTATATAA